AAGTAAGTGGGTAAAAAGATCTGAACCAATTCACTGTATATACACTCTCTGGGACTGGTTAGGCTTAAGCCTTTGATCAGTCTTTTCAAGCCAAGACCGATGGCTGGAACATCACTTGATGAAAGGGTTGATCAAGAGACCGAAGCCGCGTACTCGAGTAGTAAGTATCAAACTTATTCAAATGAAAACCCACAGCCGCTTGTATGATATTACTAACACTATGCATACTCGGATGTTCCGTTTGATTAGAGAACAGAGAACAGAGAATTAGAGAAACGAAGAGTTAGAGTAGTACCTCTATTACTATGGCAGTGAGAGTATGGAGAGTGCGAAGCCCTAATGTAGATCTGCATCTGTATTATAGCAGCATCATTATTTAGATGTCTCCTCTAGTTGCTTCGAAGAACTGGGTGCGATTATATCGCATACGTTTGGGACGAAGAATGCTAAATTAAGTAAACAACTTTAAAATCGCTGGGAGATGAGAGATGGGTATGTAAAGCTGAAAATTTGATGTGTGCATAATAATGGGGAGAAGATAAACATGGAAAAGAGAGAGGCAGCGTTTATTCGTTCGTTGAGTTGCATGTTTATAAAGCCACGTGGTAGTAGAATATGAAAGGAGAGAAACATAGTGAGAAAGCGACATAGGTTTATGTGAGGGTAGAATAGTATTTTAGTGAGCTATCTATTTTCTTATATATAAATAGATATTAAGCAGACCTACATATTGAGCTTTATAGAGGACTTGATACCATACTTTGTTGCCACATAATATTTAAGGTCATAACATGCATTCCAATGTAGTGGACTTAATGTTTGAAAAAACAATTAATTCAATAACCAGAGACTAACCTGGTGTAAATGTGTAAGCTTACTTGAGGATCACAAAAAATAACTACTACTCCCATTTTTTAGTTTCACTTTTTAGCTTAGATTAATAAGTAATCTAATCCACAAAAATTGGTTTAAAAACTGAAAATGTTTTTTTACTAACACCATATTAAATAGGTAGCCTGAACGGGAACAACCTAAGAAACATTAAAACTTCATACTGCTTTAATGATCATCTAAGCATTTCCTCGAACACCATATACGCAAAAAATAATTTGGGTATATGAGTCCTATCTCAGCACACTGAATTTGTAGAGATTATCTGAAATATATAAAATGAATGTTTTCAATTCACTGACGAAATATATCTTAGTTTGAACATTTTGCGATTCAAAGTGGTGTGCGGTAGATATAATAAAAAAATCAGCACAGAATATGGGCAAAGTTTGAGCAAGCGTTGATTTGTTTTTTTCTGAGCAAAATTTACTTTATGCATGAAGGCGTTTCTAAAGAAGCAAAAACAACAGGGAAGATAACATGTTGGATGTTGTGCTTTTAACAGACCGGAGATCATTAGGTGCCTAAGATTAAACAATTTTAAATAGATGCTTGTGAGATCCTGACAAAGGATTAAAAGCAGAACCAAGTCATGCATGATTATGGGAAAAAATGATTTGTCATATTTTTGTAGCTATTTTGCTTCATAAGCGCATTGCAACAACATCACTAATATCTTAGTCTCATACTCTTTTAGTTTTGCATTTCGCGAAGGCGATGTAAGATAACACATAAATGCACAATTCTGCTTTCTATTTGTATTCTGATTCTTGGAAACAAAATAGTAATACGGAGCATCATTTAGACATACACCGTCATCCAAAAGATTCAAAGAATGGAAAAGGCATTAGAAAACAACATTTCATGTACTTTAGAGCTTACCATTCTAGACTATCTAAAATACATGAAAGAACATGGATGGAAGAATACCTTAGATTAATAGATTGTGTATCGATTATGGAAGACACCGTAGTGATTCTCAAACTGCTGATGATCATCGACCCCTTGAAGTAAAAAGGAATAGGGATTGAGGAGGAAATATATCATCTAAAATTCTAAACAAAAAAAAACTGATCAACCTTAACTATAAAAACTAATATCTTTTCCCCATATAAATATTCCACCCAACACCTTATATGCTGATCTTGATGACCATTGACCAATTCAACTAAGAAGGAAACTAAAAAATCTAGAAGTCTAAAACTGAACACCATATATGTTTGTGTGCATCTAAATCTCATGTAAAAAACATGAGTAATAAATTCATCAACAATACAACGAACATGGAATGAGGAGAAGAGATAGCGTACCTATATTGGCTATATTATGAGAGTGGATTGAAAGTGAGAAATTGTTCTGAAATATTGCGTGAGAATTCAGTTTGACTGAAGTATGCATTTGCAGATCTCCTAGATTGGCTGAGCAGTGCTGTAATACTACCTACTCTTGATTATATTAGAACTTTTCAGGCTTCAATTCTCATTTACCTGATTTAAAAGTTCTAAGACAGACATTATCACTTACAGAAAGGTGAAGGTTATGACATTTATAGAAGAGATTATCATGTAAACTAAAAAAACTCAAACTGATAAGGTGAAGTATAAAAAGTAATATGATTTTCTCATGCAAGCATTTTATCAGATACCTGATGTGCTTTACAAAAAATGCTCTGTACACCTAAAAGTCATGTAAAAAGAGAGAAATAAATTCAACAGCAAATACTAAATGCGAATAAATGAATCAGCCAATAAAAGAATACAACAGGTGTATGGTTGAACTGTTAATAAAGCTTAAATACTCCATACAAATCCATAATGGCTTTTATGAAGAGATTTGTGTTCCTCAATTCATTCAATTTGTAGGGGTAAAAATGTTTTGAAACACTTAGAAAGATGATGGAATGAGAAGAAGAGAGGTTGCGTACATGTATGTAATGATAGAGAGACAATCTCATAAACCCTACATGTATTGCAATGATATATATAGCGAGGCGATAAACTGTAGGAGTATGTGTCGTCTATCAACTGCAGGTAAATCTCGTGTATCTAGTAGTATTGTTGTTCATCAAAATGAGTTATTTTGATTATTATGGAAATAAACACACTTAGTCTTTTAAGGTCATAAACGTTATATATAATTAAATCAAAATCCTTGTATAATCCATTAGTCAGCAACCTCCTGCTTTGATGTTTGAATTTGAGTTACAGGAGTAGCTTTTGGAAAATAATTAATTCTAGTCCATATTTTAATTACAGAACGCTTCCTCCAAGTGCGGGGGGGGGGGGGGGGGGGGGGGGATTAAAACTCAACAAAAATGATTAGTTACAACTGACAGAGAAGAAAACACTTATAACATCAGAACTTACAGACATCTACATTCCATATTAAAAAAATCAGTATTAACTGACTTCCTTAAGTAATTATTCAGAATAGATGCATGTCAGTGTCATGTCTTAATATGAGGCTATGAGCCTATGAGCATAAGTTCACAAATTACGCTGCCCGTTTTACACCTTTACAATTTAGTACTTATAAATTGAGCCCAATTTTTCAGCACAATATTTATATGCTCATTTTAATGTGTGGCTAGTGGATGTTAAGCACAACATTAAATTGAAATTTAGCTTGTCAATTATTAAGAACAGCGTTCTAAGTAAAAGTACAATAAATCAGTATTAAGGAGAAAGTGACACTTCATAATTTATTCTCAACCAACTCCAAACAGAAAACTCACTTTAAGAAGAAAGCAATAGACATTTCAGGACTGAAATATGGTTGGTTGAATATTGGAAAAATCTGAAAACAGCTCAATATGCACAATAAAATTAACATAGGATCAAAGGTGTTTGAGAAAGTTTAGAATATAGTTGTGACAAAAACACCACAACACATTATATTAAGCGAATGGGACATGAACATTAAAAGGGAAAGTGAATGACAGAGAGATGTGTGTGTATTTCATCAATTTAATTAAATATAGAAAAAACGATAACTATGAAGAAGGTGTATGTGATGCCTGATGCAGGACGTTTGGATATGTTTTTATTTATAAAAATTAACAAATATACTTTAGTTTATGAACTTTAAAATGCATATCAATTAGTATATGCAGTTATCCACAAATGAAGACTTGACTCAATCAGAGACTCAGAGTATATAATCATTTAAGTATCATGATAGTATAGTATTCCCTTCGACTCTACTCATTTGCAGGCACTGTGATTGTGTTTTATAACATTTTAAAGATTGAATAAAGCACTGATAAATATGACAACTTCATGAAAAATGAAAAAAGAGGGAAAAAATCATTAGCAAATAATAAATGCGAAGAAAAGTGATGGAATTGTAAAAACTAATATGCTTTTCTCATATAAACATATATTATAAACATATTATATGCTTGAGATTATATGGTCTGTGCACGTAAAATTCAGGTAAAACAGAGTGAAAAAATTATTAGCAAATACTAAATGCGAAGAAAAATGATGGAATTGTAAAAACTAATATACTTTTCTCATATAAACATATTATCGAACACCTTATATGCTTGAGATTATATGGTCTGTGCACGTAAATTTGAGGTAAAAACGGAGGGGGGAAATCATTAAGCAAATACCAAATGCAAAGAAAGATGATGGAATGAGCAGAATTCGCAGCGTACCTGTGTTATTATAGAGGCAATAGCATACTTTTCTACTATTATAATGATATATATAGCCATAATAACCGTCCGGTCATCTCGTGGATGGAGAGCAAGAGAGACGTGTGTTGTACATGGCAAGCCGAGCTGTATATCCCAATCTGAGCCAATCTGTTCAGGATTTTTTGGAGAAGAATTAGCTAGAGATTGTATATATAGAGTCCTCTTTCGCAAAAGAAAAACCCAATAGCGTATAGTCGCTGGTATTTTTCTTTGCTCTTTGAAACGGGAAGCCACGTGGATGCACAAAAGAATAAGCGTGAATTCAGCCGAGAAAGACACGTAAGAATGGAGGGCATAATTGTACTTTAAACAGCTATTTCTTTTCTTATATATAAATAGATATCTAAACGAGTATTAACAATAAAAAACTTATATACTTTCACAAAATTAAATGGTCTATTAAATCGCCAGATTTGAAAATGATAAATATTTGTAACCCAAAATAAATAAAAATAAAAAAAATTATGTTGAGCACAAGTACAAGAAGGCCGAGAAAATGAGTATGGTTCCTGTGTAGAGCCGGTCTACAACGTCATTAATAGACCAATCAATGTATATGAGCCATGTATTAACACCACACGTGATCCATCGATGTCATTAATTGACATGACTATGGTCTATGGACTATGGGTGCACAACAATGTAGTATTGATTTGTGGCGTGCCATGTACCAATAGTAAGGCCTTAGACAAACTTCATTCTATTATGCAAGAAGACCTTTGGACAAACATGCAATTAGCCCAGTGTGTTTTAGATTTATAACGCATAGCTGATGGGAATATTTACTCCATCCAAGAAGCTGGCCTTGACTTGAAGGAGTAGTCAGTCTTCAACTGCAGTTGTTTGCTGAACCAAAGAGGCTGCAAATCTTAGGGTGTTTACGGATATGGTGCGGGCACTTATAGAGAAGATCTTTTGCCTCGTACAGCCTTCCCTCCTCAAAGAATGATTCAAAAATGTGCTGGTATGCTGCGGCAGAAGGATATCCCTTACTAATGGCCTTCAGAAACTCCATTGCATCCTCCACTGTCCCTAGCTTGGAAATGTATTTATAAAAAGGTTCTACAAAAGGCGGATAATTGATTTTCTTCATCCCGCAAAGTAGATCCAAAGCTTCTTCCAGTTTCATTTCTCCCAACAGCTTATGAATCAGATTCTTGTAAGTTGCTTGCCATGGTCGCACGTGAGCCTTAGCCACCATCTCTTTTAGCAATTCATATGCACCTACTAATTTTCCCTGATCGAGAAAACCGTTTATTAATACATCCAACAGATCACCATCTGCATCAACATTTTTCTCCACCATCTTAACAAGACAAAGCAATGCTTTGTCTACTGCATTAGCTTTACAGTGACCTTGGATCAAAATAGTCCAAGTCTTGATATCAGGATTGCATCCTAGTCCTTCCATTGTATCTATTACCATAGAGGCTTCCTCCATTCTTCCTGCTTTACAAAGTCCATGAATTTGTTGGCTGTAAGTGATGTTGTCAGGTTCATACCCTGCACTTCTCATGGCTTCCATAATCTTCTCTGCCTCATCAAATTTCCCAAGGCTAGTCATGGACCTATGAATCACATCATAAATTGCCTTTGTCAATGAATTCCCAGACTCCTCAAATTTTTTCACAACCCTGAATAGCATATCAAAATCTGAAGGAATCCGAGTTGCAATGCTTCGCAAAAGTATTGTAAATTCACCAGTTGAAGGCTTATAAGGGCTATCCATCATATGCTCATAAAGTTCTATGGCATCTTTAAATCTTCGAGTTTTTTGAAAATACCTTGAGACCTTTATATATGTATCAAGATCCATACAATAGCCCGCGGTCTTCATCTTCTCCAGCATACTCCAGAACTCTTCAACAGATTCTTCTCGGGGAAGAACCCTAAGAATCCCATTATAAGTAATGCTGGTGTGCTCATAGCCAAGACCTTCATCTACCCAATTGAAAAACTTGGCAGCCTTTAGAGGACACCGTGCATCTCTAAGTTCCTTTAGAACTCTAAGTATAAAATCATCAGAAAGTAACAACTTTTTAGCCACCAGTTCTTTCTCCACCTCATACCCCCAATCTGACTGATTAATCACTGCAACCACCTCATTCACCAAGTCACAAGTAGCATTTTCTTTCGCTGTAAGCTTGTAAGCCTTTTCCAAAGCTGCAGCGTAGGTATCCATCTTTGATTTCTGGAAACTGGAATGTATGGATTTATAAGTTTCTCCATCCATACAAATCCCCTTCTCTTTCATTTCTCTTATAATTACCCAAAAATCCTTCATTGAATTCTTTTGTGCGTAAATCCTAAGCATCAAGTTATAAACAGAAGAATTTGGTTCAAACCCACTTATATTCACAACCCAATTAAAGAACTTCTGAGCTTTTGGCGGGTCCTTAGTGAGCCTTTTCAACACATACATGACAGCTTCATGGCTGAACTGAGAGCCATATCTTTCTGACATTGACTTCTCGAACTTATCAGACCAATCGTTAGACAGCACATCATTTATGAATGAATTGGGCATCATTGAGAACAAGAGCTGTTGATTTGCTTGGAGAATTCTATTCGTGGGAGCGCGGGATTTGGATAAATAGGAGGGAGAGAGATGGATGGACTGAGTCACCTGAAATTGATTCGAGCGCCTTAGAAAGGATTGGCCGGAAAAGAAGAAGTTGGCCAGTGGGGAAGCTAGGATTCTCTTTGCTTGATTCATCGCTGCCGCAGTCGTCGACCCTAGAGGTTTTAGGTTTCTTGGACTAAAACTCAAATGAAGGAGGAGACTTTCATCGAGTTTTCACTATGGACATAAAATCATAATTGTAGTAAATTAATGAGAATGACAAGTGTGAATTTTTATCTTTGTCATCAGCACATTAATCTAGTTTCCATCTTTGTATTCATAGATAGATAGATAACTAGTTTTAATGTTGCTAGCAAAATATGTAGAATTACTCTTTGATGATTCATTACCAAGCTCAATCAGTATAAATAGGGGTTTGGTGATGCCTCGTAAAGTAACTCAGAAATTCATAAAATATTTAGAGATTAAGAAGAAATTTAGAGCTTTTTATCTATATATCTATCTCCCAAATTTGATCTTCATCTTCTTCATTTCACAACACGTTATCAGCACGAATCTGCTCAAAAGTCTTCCAGAAATCATCATCTCCTGCAGGTATTAAGATTAGTATCTACTATCTTCTTTCAGTATTTAAACCTGAAAATTATTATGCCTTTTTAAATAAAGTTTCTATGATATACGGAGAGAAAATATAGATAAACATACCTTCAAAATGTATCTTGATAAATCCTTCTTAAATCAGTAAAGAAGAACACCGACTTAGAAATATGAAAGAAGATAGTGGGTATAACATGTAGAAATACACTCGGTGGATGTCTAGAATCTAAACCAGTAACTAATATTAAGTACTACGCACCGCAACAACGAATCTGATAAGTCTGTTCTGATGCTCATATTTAAGTACTCCTTAAAGAAGTAGATCACTCGCATGCTCAAATACTTTAAAGAACTATTTAAAGTAGTGCTCCGTAATTTTTCACATCCAGTAGGATAGTCACGGGTTCTGTATTTTATTACTAACATGCATGGAATATGTATATCTTTTTATTGTCTTTTTGTATCACATGCATACATTTACTGTTAAGAATAAAATAAATAAAAAGGGAAGAAGCCAAGGAGGCTCCACAGGTGGCTTTGTAGAAGTGATCAGAGGCTTCTGAATGTTATATCTAAAATCAAAGTAATGTCAGATCAGTAATCCATTTTAAATAAATTTTTATGGTTAGACATAGACTGTTTTTTTTGTTACTCCGTATTTATTAATAATCGTCAATGATAAGCTTCAAGCCTAGTACTGCCACATGTTTTTTTGTACGTATACAAATCTATAACGTAAATCTTAAAACAAAAGAAAATAATCATACGTCAATAGTTGATAAACTATATAATTAGTATACTCTTTATATAAGATTTATTTCAACATATTTTAAATTACTTATAGAGTGGTAAGTATCTTCTGATGTAAATATACACTTTACTGATTAGACCGGTTTTAATAATTCCTTGTAGTATAATGACAAATATAAGCAAACGAGAATTCGATGTCCTTGATCTGTCCGGGCAAAAATACCTGGAATGGAAAGTTGATGCTTTAGCACATTTGAAGGCTAATGGTCTTGAAGACATCATTAAGGCTGATAATCAATCATCGTCCCAGGACAAAGTGAAAGCTATTATTTTTCTCCGCCACCATCTCCATGAAAGTCTCAAGTCTAAATATCTTTTGGTCGATGAACCAAAAGAATTATGGGACAATTTACAGGAGAGGTATGGCCACCAACAAAAATTCCTTTTACCTAAAGCTCAGTATGATTGGATCAATTTAAGATTCCAGGATTTTAAATCAATCAGTGACTATAATTCTGCTATGTTCCAAATAACATCCAAATTAAAGTTATGTGGATAAAAAGTCACTGATGCTGATATGTTGGAGAAAACCTTTTCTACAATGCATATTTCTAATATGTTGCTACAACAGCAATATAAAGAAAAGGGTTTTAAAAAATACTCCGACTTAATATCAGTTTTACTTGTAACTAAGCAAAATAATGACATTTTGATGAAAAACCATAATCTGAGACTCACTGGTTATAGTCCTTCTATTTATGGTCCATCCTGCCATAATTTAGCCACAGAATCAAATGCAACACACAGTTAGGGCTGGTTCGGTACGGTATACCAAAATGTCAACGCCATACCGCATACCGTATCGAAAATCCGGTATTGGTAAATGTCATACCGTTACCATACCGAAACTTTCGGTATACCGAAATTCGGTATACCGAAAATTCGGTACGGTATGTAACCCATACCGTTTTATACTGAAAATTCAAAAAAAAAAATCTTGGCAATTCCGTATAAAGCATTAGCTTAAGGGACCTACCGAACATCCAAAAAACTGATTTTAACAAGTCAAAAGTAGCACACGACATCAATACATAAACCGATACCAAAACTAAAACACAATATTTAATCCAAAGTAGAAAATACTAAAATTATGTGCTAATATCTCAAGTCTCAACACAATCCATAATGAAAATTAGAATATTTATCTAACATAAATCAATGATAACTAATGTTTGTAATAACAAATCTTTGAATCATTGTTGCAGCTCCGTATAAATAAGAGATTTTTCTACTTTGGTAATATGATGGTCGTCCGCCGTATAAATATTTTATCAATATACTTTATCATTTGTTTATAAATATAGAATGAGCATAGACCAGATTGTTCATATTACCAGGATGGTTAAGCTTTAGCAAATAATGACGGTTGTCCGCTACTCCGTGCTTCGTCAATGGCGTCTTCGTCACTCGTCCGCATCTCCATCGTCAATGCTCAATAGTCCACAGCTTTGTCACTCGTTGAAGAGAAGAGAAGCTGCTTGACTCTACGTTGATTTATTTGGGGAGAATTTGACTTTGCACCCCATGGTTTGGGTGATATTTGAGTTTGCACCCTATTTTCAAAATCATTAATGTATGCACCTCAATTCACTATAAAATTATTTTACTTTGCACCCCACTCCTTCACAATTTTTGGGCTAATGGGGTGCATACATTATTTTTAAAATGGGGTTCAAAGTCAAATATCACCCAAAACATGGGGTGCAAACTCAAATTCTCCCATTTATTTGATTAGGGATTTAGGCCTCTACTTGGGAGAACTAGAGAAGGGCCGTAGTATTATAAGATGGGTTATTTTAATTTTGAGCCTTGGTATTTTAATAATTTCATTTAATGGGTTGGGCCCTAAAAATTTACAAATTCTATTTCGGTATATCGGTATTTCGGTATATACCGTACCATACCGAAAATTAACGGTATTTCGGAATATACCGAAATACCGAAAATCTAAAAAATCCATACCTTTACCATACCGAAGTGACCCGGTATGGTATCATACCGTACCGAACTTTTTGGTATACCGAAAATTTCGGTAAATTCGGTATTTTTCGGTATGGTATGGCCGGTATACCGAAATTTCGGTATATTTTCCCACCCCTACACACAGTGGTAATAGAAGGCATTTTAAACGTGGGCATTATGGTGGTCATAATAACAAGTCCCACCGAGAATATAAACAAGTCAATAGACCGAATTATAAGGGCAAGGGCAAACAAAAAGCCCATCAAATAAATCGCCTTCCAAAATCCTCGGGAAAATCGACTTGTTATAAATGTGGCATGACGGGGCATTGGGCTAATAAATGTCGCACGGCTAAACATCTGGTGGAGTTATTTCAAGCTTCTGTGAATTTAAACAAAGGCAAAAATATGGAAGCTAATTATGTCAATGACACAACTCCATCTCTGCCAAAATTTGACGTGTCCGACTTTTTCGTTGATGATGCTATTATGGACGATGCTTTTGCCATTGATGGAGTGAGTATATGGCCCGGGAACCCCCGGCCCACAGACTCCTACTACTCCAGCAAAGGCCCAACAGGCCCAAATCACAGCGCCCAGAGTACCAAGCAGCCCGCACTACGCGCCAGGGGTGCCTTCGGCCCCCTGGCCGAAGGCTCTAAACTCTCACAGAACGGGTTTCTCAAGCAAATGAAGAAACCGGGAGAAAACGGCGAAAACAGTAGCCCTCGGCACTGTGAGCCCTCGGCACCAGGGTGCCATCGGTTGGAGGAACCCTCGACTACTGCTCTATAGCCGAAGGCATCTCACTCGACAAGATATCCGCCTCACATGCGTACGGATCACCGTACCCTGCACAGACGTCTCATCCAACAGCCGCATTAAATGCGGCCACATGCGGCTGCCAGCGCCAACCAGTTGAGGTGACCCCTCGGCCAATGAGCGCTTGACACGTGTCTCTGTCCGGCATTTATTGCTACTATAAATAGCACCCCATTTCCCCATTTGTAACCACGCTGAAAACGCTCCACATTTATAATACACCCTCTCTCTCTACATTTACTTGCTCTGACTTCTCTCTAAGTTATTCCCCGCAATAACCCCTCGGATATATACCCCCGGGTAGACTATCCATCATTTGGTGCTCTCGTTGAGAGGTCGAACAATCGAGTAAGAAACCCTCCCCCTTCGCCAAACACTAGCCCTCTACCAAAATGGTGAGAACAACACGTGCCAACTCAAAAAACGTAGAAGACAAGAACCTGGCCCTCGGCGACGTCAACGCCCCCGAAGCCTCTCACAGGGCTCCCGAGGGCGGTGTCATCGCTGGGCTGGAACAGGCGGCTGTCGACCTACGCCTTCAGATCCAACAGAACGCCCCCGATGCCCGCCTCGACATCGAGGCCAAGAAGAAAAATCGGAGCGATGACCAAGTCAGCCCTCCGGTTCTCACCATCGACGTGCAATCGGCGCTCTCCGCCTTCATCCAGATGCTCACTCAGAACTCGGGTGCCTTCGGCACCCTGGCTCCGGCTCACCCCCAGGTTGGGGAAAACATCATACTCCCCCCTCCGCCACACCCCTTCAGAAATCCCACCCCTTGGGTGAGGAACGACGAAGGGGTAGTGGCCCAGGATACGTCCTCCCAGGAAGTACAGTCCCGGGATCGCCACAATGACAACAGGGAGAGGCCCCGCACTTCCGCCCTCAACCGGCTCGGAGGAGGGCCGGACCGCCGAGGGGTCCAAGACCGCCTCGGAGGAAAGGCACTCCAAAGGCCTCAGGAGAGTGGAGGGTCTGTCTCGAGGGCAGACGAGGAGCGTCCCCCTCGGGACAAAGGCAAGGCACCCCTTCATG